CAGCCCTCAATGACCAACCGTAAAATATGCAATCTCAGACTGGAGATTGCAAAACATGGTTCAAGGGTATACTTGTAATTCAGGAGTTTATTTTAGGTTAAACAGTAAACTACATTTTTAGTAGCATACTCCAGGTTCAGGAGTATCCTCCAGGTTCAAGAGTTTACTCCAGGTTCAGAAGTGCACTCCAGGTTCAGGAGTTTACTCCAGGTTCAGCGGTATACTCCAGGTTCAGGAGTATACTCCAGGTTCAGGATTATACTCCAGGTTCAAGATTATTCTCCAGGTTCAGGAGTATACTCCAGGTTCAAGAGTATTCTCCAGGTTCAGGAGCATACTCCAGGTTCAGGAGTATACTTCAGGTTCAGGAGTATACTCCAGGTTCAGGATTATACTCCAGGTTCTGGAGTATTCTCCAGGTTCAGGAGTATACTCCAAATTCAGGAGTATGCTCCAGGTTCAGGAGTATACTCCAGGTTCAGGAGTATACTCCAGGTTCAGGATTATACTCCAGAATCAGAAGTATTCTCCAGGTTCAGGAGTATACTCCAAGTTCAGGAGTATACTCCAGGTTCAGGAGTATACTCCAAATTCAGGAGTATACTTTAGGTTCAGGAGTATACTCCAGGTTCAGGAGTATACTACAGGTTTAGGAGTATACTCCAGGTTCAGGAGTAAAGTCCAGATGTATAAGAATGTATATTGCGTACTCTGGTTCAAATTTGTCGAACGAAAGATGTAGAATTAATGACGACAAGCTGGGCGACTAAAAAAAGTTTAAGAGAAAACAAAACAAAAAGACGACCTACCGGAGATATTTAAAGTTAACATCGACTAACTGGACAAATTATAAAGCTGGGAGAAGAAGACGAAAAAGATAATGATTAACCTAAAATCAGATAAACCAGTATCATGACTAATTTGTTTTTGATTGGATCAAATCGGTTGAAGTTAGACAGGGTAGACACCATCAACATACAATCATAATACAATCCACCATCCAACCATCCAACCATCTAACTATCCAACAAGCCAGATTCACCAGAAATATCTCAATATCTACTCGATGGAAAATTAAATTTTATTTTGAGTATTTGGTTTATTTTTGACATCTAATTTCTGACATCCTCGCAAATTGAGTCTTTGCCACAAACTCTCATTTTCTAATCCCTATTTCTATGCAACCGAATGTCGTCAACCTTAGAAATTTCAAACTAAAAATCCAAATCCCTCCCCCCCCCCCCTCTTGAACATACTATGCTCCTCCCTCCATGATAAGACAAATTTAATAATAATTAAATACATTTTAAAAATCCTTTTGATCATCTCCGTTCTTTTCCAGTTGGTCAGTTCTTATTCAACTCTTATTTTCTTATGCTTTCGTTGATTTATTTTTATTGAATTCCTTCCATTAGTTTAATAGTTTATCTCTCAAAACATCCTTTCATTTCCATACTTCAATCCATTTCCATCCGTCCTTCCATCTCCACCCGTCCTTCCATTTTCACCAGTCATTCAACTAACATTCGTCCTTCCATCTCCACCCGTCCTTCCATTTTCACCAGTCATTCAACTAAGATTTGTCCTTCCATCTCCACCCGTCCTTCCATTTTCACAAGTCATTCAACTAACATTCGTCCTTCCATTTCCATCCGTCCTTCCATTTTCACCAGTCATTCAACTAAGATTAGTCCTTCCATCTCCACCCGTCCTTCCATTTTCACCAGTCATTCAACTAATATTCGTCCTTCCATTTTCACCAGTCATTCAGCTAACATTCGTCCTTCCATCTCCATCCGTCCTTCCATTTATAATTTTTCCGTCTTTCTCAGTTTTCCATTCTTCTAAATTTACTATTCTTAATTACTCAATGTATATTAAAGTTCAAACAATCAATTTGAAAACCAATCAGTCCGATATATTCCCATGATTTATGAAAATTATTTTGAATCATATTTCTGTATATTATTTTTTAACATAATCTATTTTCAAGGATCATTATTTATTGTATAGTTGAACGTGTACGCTAGAAAAAGCTCGCAGATTTTTAGAAATAAAGGAATTTAGTTTTTGCCACACACTTAAATGTTCTAATCTTTATATCTATGTAACCTTACGGTGTAAATCTATGATACTTCAAACTTAGATTATTTTATCCAACAGAATTCATAATTTGAAATATTAAAGGTCAATGACATTGGATTGCAAAGATATAGGGATTAGAAAATCAGAGTTTGTGGCAAAGACTCAAATCCTTTGCGGATTTTCATCAAATCTAGTGAGGGAGGTAGCGATAAAAATAGTATTAATTAAACCTTTTTAGACCCATAAAACTACATACAGAATTAGGAAAACCCGTTTACGTAACAATTTTATCTTATTTTTAAATTCTAAATTTCTTCAAACTTGAGGGTTAAATTAAAAATTATCATTTTGCGAAAAGTTTACGGTTTTAATTCTAGTTCATCACGTTTGTTAATTTCTGAGAAGACCTATCGGTCTACATCTTTACCATGTATTAAGATTTACTGTAATTACAGTTTTTGGTTTAATACCAAGAAAATATAGATCAGTTAACTATGACTAGGGATCTAAGTATAGAGCAGAAATCAGAGTATTATGAATTTTGAAGTTATTGTAAAACAAACTATAGCATTGTTTCATGCTCATTGAACTTTTAATATCATAATTTGAGTCGAACAGTCGTTTTCCAATAGGCTATACCACAGTTTTATGTGTTCCACTGTACATTAGAGATTTATATATAAGGGGGATAACATTAGATTAGATTTATTAGAACACTCATTTTTTAGGTGAATTAGTTTTCTATAAATCATTTACAAGTGTGAGCTATTTACATAGATATTTCAAGCTATTTATCCATGTATATTTATAATGTGTTTATCTATTTATGTAATGATATGATATTTATATATTCAAGATCTGACTACAATTCGAGTCTTTCCCTGCAGGGTTGGAATACTCCAGGTCTATCTAAGGGTTGAGTCATATCTCATCTTGGTTTGGAGTCATATCTCATCTTGATTCAGAGTCATATCTCATTAAGGTTCGGAGTCATATCTCATCTTGGTTTGGAGTCATATCTCATCTTGGTTCGGAGTCATATCTCATTTAGGTTAGGAGTCATATCTCGTCTTATTTCGAAGTCATGTCTCATCTTGGTTCGTAGTCATATCACATCGTGGTCCGGAGTCAAATCTCATCTTGGTTCGCAATAATATCTCATCTTGATCCGGAGTCATATCTCATCTTGGTTCGGAGTCATATCTCATCTTGGTTCGGAGTCATATCTCATCTTGGTTCGCAGTCATATCTCATCTTGGTTTGGAGTCTTATCTCATTTAAATCTTTGATTTATACCAGTCTCGGATTCAGCATATAAATAAAGACGTCAAGAATAAATAAAATTTTATAAGTTACATCCTTTAGAAAAATGAAATTTGTGTTATAATTTCATTTTACAAAAATCATTCGTATTATCGCGTTCAGTGTGAAGGTTGCGTTTTTCTATCTGGTATTTTAATCCTCCTCCCCCTACATACTGCATCAAAAAATTGTGTGAGAATATTTTTTATAAAATACAATAAAAAAAACTGTTTGAATGACAGCTTTCTAACGCTGAGGAATTTAGGTCAATAAAAATTTCTCCTTACTTCTTNCCAATAAAAAGAAAATATTGCGATGAAACTGTCCTAAGATATTTATTGATCATTAAAAGCAGGACATGAAACATATACTTGCTAGGGAACTAAAAATATTTGTAAAATTAATTAGAATTTTTTTTACAAATTTTAATTGAAAAATGTGATTAAAACAAAGGATGGGGAGAAGGTAAGTATATGGTTCTACTAACTGGAGTGCCCAGATTATTATTTATAGTCCACTGTGATTTAAAGGTCTCACGCTCCTAAGCAAAACTCGATTAAAATTTTGCCAATTACTTCTTTAAAACTAATGGTAACATGTGCTTTATAAAATGTACATGTAAAGGGCTACATAAAAGCATAAGTAAGTCAAAGTGGCAAAATTAAAGCCAAAGACGTTGCAACAATTCAAAGTCGACCATGTCCAAAGAATTAATGAGATTTTGTATAAGCAGGCTTAATCTATGTGAGTCATAGTTATTAAATCATGATTTTAACTGAACAGCCCGGCGTTAACCTTTGGAATTTTGAAAAATGACAAAACTTTTTTGCCATAATCCCTAAATCTTTGCAACCAAATGGCGTAGACCTTTATATAGAATGTTCCATAGGATAGACGCAAAGGACCCTCACCCTAGATTTTAAAGATATAGAATTTGAGGCGGGAAATTCTTTCAAAATTCTGTGAAGCATTTCATTAATAAAAGAATGAACGAAGACGACAATGATTCCAGAGTTTATGTTTCCAACTTGAATATTGCATGTTAGAAAAGATTAGTTGGTTGGTGGCATACTGCAGTTCATACATTTCTATTGTTTTCTGTAATAGTTGATCAATTGAATAACCAGGACGGGGTAAATTTAAATATTTGACTAGACGCCATTGTTTTCATGTTTACAAACATTTCAAGGATTTAGACAAATTTGAAATTGGAGGGTCAACACTTTCATTGTTAATTTGACCGAAATAACTTTTGATGTATCTTACAATTAGTTTTTTTTATCTATATGCAGATATTGAGTCTTTGTCGCAAACTCAAATTTTCTAACCCCTATATCTTAGCAACTTGATGGTGCAAACCTGATATTTCAAACTTAGATTATTTGATCTACCAGAATTCAATGCTTGCAATATCAGAGGTCTACGGCATTGGGTTGCAAATATATAGGAATTAGAAAATCTGAGTTTGTGGCAAAGACTCAAATCCTTTCACGGATTTCTTCAGTTTTTTTTTCAATTGTCAAAATTTGGAGTTTTTCTTTTATAGTTTTGATCCATTCTGAATTGTTTAATCTCAAAATAAGTCATATTTGAAAAACAAAACTATCTTTTCTTTAAAAATATTTATTTGTAACTTAGATAAATTTGTTATTACACGAGTAAGTATAAGATTGCACTTCTGATGAAATAAGACAATAACAATACAAAACATATCACAGCAGTGTTCAGAGGTTTAAAAATAGCTAAAATTAGTTTAATAAGAGCGAGGGGGGAGGCCCCCCGGAGGGGGGGGGGTTAATTAAGAGTACATTATCCCAGTTTGATTTAATTTTTAGCCCCTTTTTTAGTAATTTTGGTTTGTCGTTAACGAGGTTCATTTTTTATTTAAATCCCCTTTTAAAAATCTCGAGCCATCCCTGCAAACCTAGTTTTCTATTTCAAAAAGGTGTGAAAAGCCAGAACATAATTTGAAGGAAGCACTGGTATCTTGCGGATAGATTACAATCAAACCCGGAGAAAATCTCTTGGTTAGAAAAGTTACCCTAGAGCTAACACTACTATTTCCTTTCTCCGTTTAGAAACAAAGACTTTCCATCTATATAGGTTGGTTTACTTTCTCCGTTAGAGTGTAGACCCAACCCGGAGCTGGGATAGGATTTATCCAGGTACTTGATACTCTCGTTGAGATAGTTCTGAATAGATGTGAGAGCAGCAACTATAGCTGGAGAACCGAACCCATGTGTAATCATGGAGAAATGGGTTAGATGTCTCTGTATACTAGGATCTAGGATAGGCTGGGGTCTGGTGTTGCAGAGAGGAGATCTATCCTGGTTCAACAGGTCCATCAACTCCTTACAGATGTACCTAGAGTAAAAGATTGTAAATACAAGATAAGGACGGATAAACAGAAAACGTACGGTCACAAACCGTGAAGTGAAGTAAGATTTAAGGAAATATAGATGGTTAAAGATAAGGCGGGTATCCTGCAATACAAGTCGTAAACCTAGAGAAATAAATTGCAAGATATCCAACACTACATTGTATACACAGATCTATATCCTTCAAACTGTAATCCAAAACAGGGTTTAGGTGTAATAGGGACCCGGAGTTGGAACGTGAGCAAATCTATCTTAATCTGCTAGGTTACAATAAACCAGGAGTAAAGTTTATCATAAATGTTATATCTTCAGCCATGAAACTTGAACACGTAAAACGAGTTTCATTGTATTTAAGATTATCTTAAGAATCTATGAGATGGGTTTAGGAACTTAAGTATTTGGAATGGTTTAAGAATATCCAATAAACTGGAAAATCTAGGATGGTTGGAGGATTAGTTTGAAGTTGGAAAATCTAAGGATAAGACAGAACCCGGAGAAATCTGTCCTACAGTTGAACCTGCTGGGTTACAAATTGCCTCCCGCAGTCTGAATGACAGAATTGACGTGAGAGGGAGACGTAAGAAGAATAGGAGAAAAAAAGGATGCAAAGAGGGTCGCGGGGATTGGTTGGAAAATAGAGAGTATGAAATGTCAAAAATTGTTAAAAAAGATCACCCAAAAGCATAATACAGTAGTGTTAAATTTCAAGTGAAATGAAGAGAAAAAAGATTCTTTAAGTTGATTTTTATAAGAAATAAAAAAAATCGGATGAATAAATCTTTAAGTTTTTTGAGAGAAAAGATGGCGGTCATTAAAAAATTCCCGTCGTCTTCAAATCTCCGGCGGATTTGTCGCCCAAGGTTTGAAAATTAAAGGTCGTCATTTTGCAGAATGTAAAACTTGTGTCTTGATTTTCAAATGATTGACAGTTTAGAACACCTCCCTGATATTTAACAAATCTATAATTTGACCCACCCCCTCCTCCACACTCTTATATAATCTATATCATGGAGTAGAAAGACATCTGTTGTCCTGAAACCGAATAACAAAGGAATAAACTAAATTGACCGCCAAAGCCCGATTTCAATTAAGACTAAAGCGTTCTTTTACAAATTATAAAAAAGGAATAAATAGTCATGGAAAAAACTAGAAGAAGAAAAAGAAGAAAAATCTGACTAAAGAACTGATTACTTAATTTCTAATTTTGTAATCCTAATATCTTTGCCTTATGTATTGAACCTATGAATTTTGTTAGATCAATTAGTTGAAGTTTGAAATATCAACGGTTGTCAACATTAGGGTGCAAAGATATATGTAGATATTAGAAGCTTATAGTTGATCTGTTCTTTTCATGATGAAATTGTAGGTTATAAAGGATTTATAAAATTAGGAGTGAATTTAGAGAGAAAATGAGAAATCGTAAGAAGAGATGATATTACAGAAACCGAAATCAAGCTGGGAAAAAAGATGAGATATTGGATAAAAAAAGAAAAATTGAAATGTGAAATAAAAAATGTTCAAAGTGAGAAATTATACAAAAAAAAATTAGGACCGGCTCGGCTTTTAATTTGCTCTTGGATTTAAAATCCGAACCCTCCTATATATGTTTTCGTAGCTCTGGATACAAATAAGTCAAGGCTACAAAGCAGTTGTACCTATAGCTTATGATTGTGTATTTGGGAACAACATGATCGATTTCCGCGTTGGAACATTTTTAGTTCACAGTGAATTATAATTATGAAATCTAATATTGACAGGCCCCCCCCTCACCCCCCCCCCTCTCACCGCACAATATAGAAATCAGTCTTTACCATCGAGTTAAAATAAATTAGTTTTTAACTGTTTAGACAAAACATGAAAATTGCAGGATATTTCAAAACAGAATAGAGAATTAATATTGGGAAAAAACGTACAGGGAATGACAGCCAATGGGGTTGGGAGTGACTTTCCGTTTCTGATGTCGAAAGATTTAATCTTTTTATAAAGCGCGCAATTGAGAAAAGATAAAACACAGTTGTATAGATTACGATATCATGAATGCAAATTTACTGGCTGCTCAAAATTTTGCATATCTCGTGATTTAAAAAAGTTGCAATCATCATTCTTTGGCTTGGTTGCCAGCGGTTTATGGAATTTATCCTAGCTCCTATACCAACTACTATAGACCCAGGTTCTTGTGGAGTCATGCTGAATTTTGATTCCGAACAAAAATCAGACAAATTTTACTCCATTTTCCGGGGTTTCATTGTTACCAATGTAATTAATGAATTAAACATCAATAATTTACGATTGTATCCGGTTAAACATATTATGCATAAAATATTTCTTAAACATTAGGAATATTTTTAAATTACAAAATATGATGTAATCAGTCGGGTTCAAAAGTACGTGGTCAACCTGTTTTATTGAATATTCAAAACAAGAACGGAAATCTTACTTGGTCGCATAAAGTAGTTCTTTTCTCCTGTACATATCGGATGGATCTGTATGCTGTCTTGAGAGATACTCCGCAACCTGCCGGGCTGGGAACTCTGTCTCACACACGTACCCGAAGTCCCTGGCCAAGTGGATCGCCTCCCCCTCCACCAGGGATGTCAGCAGGGTAACGTTGGCAGCCTTTCTTCTCCCAGCAGGAAGAGTGAGTCCTATTCTGTCAAGTTTGCTTCTTAACATTTTCCCTCCGTCCTTGGACTTCGCTCTAAACAAAATTTCAAAGTTATGGATTTCCAGTTTAATTAAAAAACTTCAGAGATGAGAAAACTTGAAATTAAAAACAAACAGATTATATTCTCAAAGAAAATATTTAGATACAAATATTTTAAAATGCTAAAAGCTCATGAAGAAATCCGCAAGTCACTTTCTAAAAAACCCGCGAACTAAGTTTGCATACAGAATATTGAACAAACATCGTCACATTGTTTCTTTGATTATAGTGAATCATTAATGCCACTGTTTGAAACGAAGATTAACATAAAAACACGATTATAAAATCTCTTAAATCTCAGCCGTCGTGTTGTCCAGCAAAAAAGTTAAGTTTATAAATCAACTCAAAACAGGATATCCAATTAGGGCAATATTTCAATTAAAACGGGAAATACTCAATTGCGCTCATTTTTCCTAACCTACAAACAATTGTTGACTAGCTCTCGGCTAATCAAGAACGGTTCAAGATTACCCACTGGCTCCGGGGTTAACATGGATCCACAAAGGTTAGGATTGGGATGTAAGGTGTAAATACTTAACACATGACATCCGTCCCGCGGCTCTTTATGAAAAGCCAAATCACAACGTAAAAAGAGACAGTTACATATTAACCCAGACCATTTAAACTGATCTAGGAGATAATTTATGTTTAAAGTAAACTTACCGTCGGAGAACTCCTCCCAGCAGGGACGCATTGAGACACTCCGGAGGAGAGAGTCTTCTCTGAACCTCAGCTATGGTGACCTTGTACTTAGAGGTTGAGGAGAGGAGGGAGAGCCTACCCGGAGTAGAACAGAAAACCTCAAGAGGGAACTTCTGGTTCATGTGTTCCTTATTTTGATGTTGGGTTTGATCAAACTCACGTTTAATGGGAAACGGAATATCACGTGGAAGGAACGTTTCTCCGCTCATTCCCTGAAACAAAATAGTTATTCTCTAGAATTCTGAAACCATGGAAATTGTACAATTCAGAAACAGTGCGTGGAACCAATAGTTTATGAACAGTGGAAACCTATACAGTTTCTCTAGATCAAGTAGATTACTCAAAATTTTTAATATCAAAGGCTAAATCATCAGGTTGCAAAAATATAGGGAGTTAAATGCGAGTAATCAGTTCCTCTATGATAATTTTTAAAAACAGGAACCTATAGAAACTCTAGATAAGGCAAAGCTATAAAACTTAGAAGAAAAATTTAGAAACTTGAACCCGAGAATACTGAAAAAGATTCTGAAACACGGCTTTGATCTATTTTTTCCAGATTCTTTAATCTTCTATCACATTCTTTTAATCTTTTTGATTTGGAAACTTTCTTTCATTAGTTTACTCCTAACCGAGACCCCCCCCTCACTACTTCTACCCCTCATCCCCCCTTTTTGATGTAAGAACTGAATACTTGCCTCCAACTCTAGTTTTCCAATACCTTTATCTCAGCAACATAATGTCATAGACTTTTGATATTTCAAATTATATATTCTACTAGATCAATTTGTTAAAGGTTAAAATAATAAAGGCTTAAACCAAGAAGTAATTGAACTACGAAGACTTAGTTGAACCACCTCTCTTTAACATGAACAGGTGCACAAGGGTCAAATGGTTTAACTAAGTTTACGTAATTCAACAATTCCTTGCTCTGCATTAAATATGGTCCCAATATGGTTGCAAAGGATGAGAAAATTAGAGTTTGGGACACATGTTCCATTTCTTTTTACAACAAAAAAATCCCTTAGAATTACCTGGTTATTATTATTATGATGAATAGACTCCTGTTCCATGTTCTGCCTAGAGTAAGCATCCCTTCGGAGATTGTCATATGCTTGACTGAACCCGGAGCTGTGAAGACTCGCCTGAAAGAATGATTGACTAAGTAAATACCTCTACCCGGAGTCAAACCCTCATCTTATCTCGTGGTTAAGCTTGGTTACGCACAGGTTACGCAGGTTACCCGTAGTCACGTGGATTCTTGTGGATAAAAACAAAACCATTAAAGAACCATCGAAGTTGAATTATGTAAACCATAAACTAAGCATGAGTGGAGAGGGACGGGTTGGGTACACCGCAGTTTGACCTCTCACCCCTGAGATCTAGATTAGGACGGATCATTAAACCTACATCAATCTTTCATAAACCAGCTTGACAACATCAGATCAGACCTTGCATATCCGTTATATGCATATAGCACAAGGGGGAGTTCAAACATTAAATAAATAGTAAGAAAAAGAAATAAAAAGAAAATAGGAGAATAAGAGAAGAAATAGAGAATAGGAAGGAAAGAGGAGAATAAGAGAGGATGAGAAGAGAAGAAAAAGAGAATAGGAAGAAAAAAGGAGAATAGGAGCAGTTGAGAGAAAAGAGAATATGAACTAAAGAGAAGAATAGGAAAATATGAGAGGAGAAAAAAAGAAAAAAAAATAGGAAAGGAAGGAAGGAGAAGATGAGAGGAGAAAAAAAAGAGAAAAGGAAGGAAGGAGAAAATAAAGAAAAAAATAGAAAAAGAAGAAAGAGGAAGATAAGATGAAAAGTAAAGGAAAAAATTAATTAGGAAAAAATGGCGGTAGAGTGGTTAAAAGAATAAATTAATATTTAACAATATACTGCAGGATTATTTGTAAGATGCAACTAATAAAAATGGATAAAATTGTTTTTAAACGTCCTAAAATTTTCTTTTCTATTTAAATTCGAAATTTAACGTGTGTAAGCCAACCTTCATGCAAAAATTTAAGAATTTGCCTAAGGCCCTGTGCAATATTGAGTATGAATTTGGACAAGCTATGCAATTCAATCTCAGCACAAATTTGGCAAACAGAAATAGTTGTTCGTATTCATGAAAACACGAAACAGAAATAGTTGTTCGTATTCATGAAAACACGAAACAAATTGTGTAAAGTAAAATCATAGCTTTGTTACAAAAAAAACTAAATTCTCCTTTGAGCAGAAACTCAAACTTAAGAAAGAAAATTTTCCAAGTTTGAAAAAAAAATATTTTAAAATAACCCACCGCATATTGTTGGTAGGGATCGGCAGATAGGTGTTGAGAAAAAACGTCCTGTCCTGTCTGCAGACCATTGGATCCTGATTCAGTTTTATTTAAACCTTGATCAATTTGAAAAAATAAATTAAAATGTTATCTGTAAAGGTACTGTAAACGTATTTGTAAAGTGACTGTAAACGTATCTGTAAAGTGACTGTAAACGTATCTGTGAAGGTACTGCAAGCGTATCTGTAAAGGTACTGTAAACGTATCTGTAAAGAAACTGTAAACGTATCTGTAAAGGGACTGTAAACGTATCTGTAAAGGGACTGTAAACGTATCTGTAAAGTGACTGTAAACGTATCTGTAAAGGAACTGTAAACGTTTCTGAAAGGAACTGTAAACGTATCTGTAAAGTGACTAAACATATCTGTAAAGTGACTGTAAACGTATCTGTAAAGGAACTGTAAACGTATCTGTAAAGGGACTGTAAGCGTATCTGTAAAGGGACTGTAAACGTATCTGTAAAGGAACTGTAAACGTATCTGTACAGGGACTGTAAACGTATTTGTAAAGGGATTGTAAGCGTATCTGTAAAGGGACTGTAAGCGTATCTGTAAAGGGACTGTAAACGTATCAGTAAATGGACTGTAAGCGTATCTGTAAAGTGACTATAAACGTATCTGTAAAGGAACTGTAAATGTATCTGTAAAGAGACTGTCAACGTATCTGTAAAGGGACTGTAAACGTATCTGTAAAGTGACTGTAAACGTATCTGTAAAGGAACTGTAAACGTATCTGTAAAGGAACTGTAAACGTATCTGTAAAGGAACTGTAAATGTATCTGTAAAGTAACTGTAAACGTATCTGTAAAGGGACTGTAAACGTAATTTAAGTGACTCTCCATTTATAGATAAGCCTATTTAACACACAACGGTATCATTGAAAGATTTGTCTGAACAGTGATCAATTATGTGTTTTTGCTTCAGAAACAATGGAGGAAAATTATCAAACTTAAAACTTTTCTAAAAACGACGATATCTTCCATATTATTGGTCGGAGAGAAGTATACCGCTGTGAATCATGCATAAATGGCAAGTAGTTTGAATTTATAAAATTTAAATTTAAAATGGTAGTTTTTCAGAGGTTTGAGTATGTTCCTGTGAATGGAGGTGGAAAGTAAGGAGGCTGAAATTCCATTGTTGTCATTGCTTTCCTTAAAAGAAAAAAATATTAAAATATCAGAATTTAAACTATTTCAGATTCTAGCTTCGTGGTTCTGATTTTACCTCCAGGGTGTAGAAGGAGTAACAGGAAACTCTTCCGACTGAATCCGTGTCCTTGGAGAAGTGTTGAACCTGCCACGGGGAACTAAATCTCAGTGTCTATTCTGCCCGGAGTAAGAGGAGAAACTGCACTTAGCGCCGGGATGCTGAAACTTGACGGTAGCAGTGACATCACAACCAATCAAAGCCGGGTTTACAAATGTCTTGACCAATGAGGATACTTTCCTGCCTCCCGGCGGCAAATTGGCGGAACATCTGAACCAGGGGCGTGAGCTCACACGCGCCCCGGGTCCCGTGGATGCCCCAGATTCACAGCAAAGTAATATATCAGCTGGAGACAGGAACCAGGAGAACCAGGAGAACCAGGATCGAGAACAAGGAGAACCAGGAGAACTAGAAGAACAAGGAGAACCAGGAGAATTAGAAGAACAATGAGAACCCGGAGAACAAGGAGAACAAGGAAAACCAAGAGAACAAGATGAACCAGGAGAACTAGAAGAACCAAGAGAACCAGGAGAACTAGAAGAACACGGAGAACCAGGAGATCCAGGAAAACTAGAAGAACTAGAAGAATCAGAAGAACTAGATGAACAAGGAGAACAAGGAGAACAAGGAGAACATGGAGAACCAGGATATCCAGGAGAACCTGAAGAACCAGGAGAATCAGGAGAACTAGAAGAGCAAGGAGAACCAGGAGAACAAGGAGAACCAGGAGAACTAGGAGGACCAGGAGAACCAGGAGAACCAGTAGAACTAGGAGAACCAGGAAAACCAGGATAACCTATAGAATAAAGAGAACTAGAATATCAAGAAAGCCTGGAAACACTAAAGAAACTAGAGAACCAGGACAGCAGAGGAAAACTACAAGAACCTAAAAGAAAGAGAACCAGGAGAACAACTTGGATAACCAGGAAACTTTAAGAACTATGAAAACTAAGAATAAAAAACCATCTCACTGAACCTGCTAAATTTTTCATTAAATTTGAGTCTAGAACTTGGTAACCTAGAGAACTAACCCCTGAATAGGATAGTTTCGGAATGTCCCATTATGAACCCTTTTGTACCTAATGACAGCCCCAGGGAGGGAGTAAAGCTTACTTGCTCTTTTTGTCAGATTTTCTTTCTTTTCCTTCCATTGTATCCGTCCTGTATTTAATCAAATATCTTTTATCTGGAGCAGGTTGGGTTCTGTGATTATATCTGGGTTGGATTTTATCTAAATCCGTCGGTATATGGTTCAATTTTTAAACGTTGAAAAAGTCAATAGAATTTGATCGAATCTCACTGTTTGTAACTCTTACCACAATTTGTTTGGATTAATTTTACTAGTTTCTGCTTAGTTCATGAAATTAATTTACTTAAAATTAAATTTAATTGAATTGATTTTGCGTTAATGCATTTGAATCGGTATTGATGAAAATGAATTGATTTGTTTAAAAGGAATTCCGTTTAGACACAAACTTAAATGTTCTAATCGTGGCAAAGACTCAATTCCTGCGAATTCTAACGACCTGGAAAAGGATCTAAAGACCTGAATAAGGATCTAAAGACCTGAATAAGGATCTAACGACCTGAATAAGGATCTAACTACCTGAATAAGGATATAAAGACCTGAATAAGTATCTAAAGACCTGAATAAGGATCTAACGACCTGAATAAGGATATAAAGACCTGAATAAGGATCTAAAGACCTGAATAAGGATCTAACGACCTGAAAAAGGATCTAAAGACCTGAATAAGGATCTAAAGACCTGGAAAAGGATTAAAAAGACCTGGAAAAGGATCTAAAGACCTGGAAAAGGATTAAAAAGACCTGGAAAAGGATCTAAAGACCTGGAAAAGGATTAAAAAGACCTTGAAAAGGATCTAAAGACCTGGATAAGAATCTAAAGATCTGGAAAAGGATTAAAAAGACCTGGAAAAGGATATAAAGACCTGGAAAAGGATCTAACGACCTGAAAAATGATCTGAAGACCTGGAAAAGGATCTAAAGACCTGAATAAGGATCTGAAGACCTGAATAAGGATCTAACGACCTGAATAAGGATCTAAAGACCTGAATAAGGATCTAAAGACCTAAATAAGGATCTAAAGACCTGAATAAGGATCTAAAGACCTGAATAAGGATATAAAGACCTGAATAAGGATCTAACGATCTGAATAAGGATCTAAAGACCTGAATAAGGATATAAAGACCTGAATTAGGATCTAAAGACCTGAATAAGGATCTAAAGACCTGAATAAGGATCTAAAGACCTGAAAAAGGATCAAAAGATCCGAATAAGGATCTAAAGACCTGAATAAGGATCTAAAGACCTGAATAAGGATCTAAAGACCTGGAAAAGGTTTGAAAGAACTGGATATGGTTCTAAAGAACTGGATAGGCTTTAAAAGACCTAGATACGATACCAAAGTCCTGGATAAGGTTATATTGACCTGGATAAGGTCCTAAATACCTGGATAAGTTTCTAAAGACCCGGAAATGATCTAATAATCTGGATAAGGTTCTAAAGACCTGGAAAATGTTCTAAAGACCTGGATAAGGTTCTAAAGACTTGAATAATGATCTAATGACCTGGATATTATCCAGTGGATAAACTAGAGATCTATATAAGGATCTAAAGTCCTGGATAAGTTTCTAAAGACCTGGATAAGTTTTCAAAGACCTGTATAAGGATCTAAAGACCTGGATAAGTTTTCAAAGACCTGTATAAGTTTTCAAAGACCTGGATAAGGTTTAAAGATCTGGATAAGTTTTCCAAACCCGTATAAGGTTCTGAAAACCTGGAAAAGGGGGGGGATAAGGGTTCAGCGTAAATATTTGAGGTTTCAGAAATGTTGCACTCCTCTAATCATAGTTCAGTCCTTAAACTCTCAGCTCTGGTAAAGGGTTAAAGTAGTAATTTCTGCCCAGATCTATTATAGGAGCACACGTGTTACAGCTAGAATATTCTTCAGCTTTTAACGTGAAAAAATGAAAATTTCGTGCGATGAATATATGAAGGGTTGCAAGAAAAAGGTAGACTAGATATGATCTCCATAATTTACACAGTTTTTCTGCAAACCAGAACAATGCACATAATTTTGGCAAATTTGCAGATATATGGAATTTGCAGGTAAACAATAAAGCAATTTTATATTTAGCAACAATTCAATCTTTCGCAGTAATTTTGCACAGTGACAAACAAGCCAAAACACAGCATACAGACATTTAAACTAAAAACAAAAGTAACTGATTATTTGTCTTTTCAACCTAATCATTGAAATTTTAATAGTTTATATCATTAAATTTGAGTTTGATCAGTTACTTTGGTATATTTAACCAGTTCTCTGTAAGACATATCATTTGTGGTAACCTTATCTTCCACATAGAGGATCAGATAAAGATTTTAAGGGTATCGTTGTGAATCGGACATATTCCTCAATGAAAGGGAGAGTCCCTTGAAACTACAATGATTGTCCCTTTAAAAATAAATCTGACAACCTTCTCTTGAACAATGAAAACCAAAATAGTAAAGGAGTCATTCTGAGACAATGGAGTTTTTTGCATTTTGAAAGATTGCAAATATGTTAGGGTTGTGCAAATACTAGTTGCAATGATTGATTTCATTCATTGCAAAACCAAAAATAGTTTTGGTATTTACCCTAGATAGACCAATCAACCTGCACAGTTATAAAAATGTTTTTTCAAATATTGAGACCGGGTGTTTGTTTCTATTTGTTTATTTTGGAAAAACAAAATTGATGTCATGGCAGAGGTTATTTAGGAAGATTCACTTCTTGTGCAGAACTTATTGGGTTACAAAACAGATTTAATGTTTTATGAACGGTGTGTTCTTCGGTAAAAAATATGTATTTTTTTGCATAGTACATTAGTAATTAACAAAGAAAGTTGTTAATTAGCATCATTAAGCTTATTAGAGTTTCAGAAAGAAATCATATTAAATATTGTTCCTGTTCTGGTTTACATTTTGAACGAATATCGGGTACATACACAATATTACATATACATTTCAAACTCGTTTTATTATAGATATTTCACTTTTATATCATTGCAAACATTGACAATACTATATTAAGGTTACTTATTGTTTTTTAAAATCTCGAACAAAGATAATTTACTGAAATACATACATGGATTACATTACATATATAGATACATACATAGATAAATACAGAGATTTCATTGCATTATACATATTGATTCATAGATATCATTTAATTAAGTAAACGGGTTTACATATATATATATACAAAGATGACATTATATTACATATGTTTATAAATACAGGTTTAAATATTAGAATATTTGTTAGTGTGAAATATGTCGGTTTAGAAAGTCCTGAAAGCATGACAGGACGAGAAAGCTCGGATAATGAATAGATGAGAATAATTAGTTAAGATGAACCGTTAGATTCAAGATTAGATCCTGATAGACGCGTCATCCAACATTGTTCCTACCTTCGGCATATCTCCAGGCTTGGATAGAGTAGGACTCGAAGACATCTAGGGAAGTCTAGCTCCGGGTACAAAACTGAACAGAGTGCACTCTCAACCTTGATCTTGAACCTACTCCGGGCATTCTTCATTGAAACCTGGTGCCTTGAGCAGTGAGTAGGTTCAAACAAAAACCCAGAGGAGAAACTCCCAGACCATGTCCTGAGGTTGTAGACGAGCTCCAGGTGCAGGTTGAGCTCCGGGCTCCCCTACCCGCCCCAGGGTTCCCTGCATCTCTCATTAGGACGGATACAGGAAACTCTCCAGATTCAACCTTTCTCTTGTATACTTATTGGATCCAACCTTACGCCAGGTTCCTCCTAGATCCAACAGTTCTCCTTGATAGTTCCTGGGTCCAACCTTACTTCTTGATACATATTGGAACCAACCTGATACTCTTAGGTACTCTCAAGAGTCTTTCCTTTCTCCTATATACTTATTAGATCCTGTCTTATACTCATAGAGACTCTCCTGGTCTCACCCTTCTCCTGGATATGACCGGATACAAACGTATACTCTTAGATACTTTCTGTATCTATTCTTTCTCCTTGATGCTTATTAAATCCAATCGTATACTCCTAGATACTTTACGGGTTCATCCTTTCTCCAGTATACACAATGGGTCCATCCTTTCTCCTGAATACTCCCAGGATCCATCCTTTCTCCTGGATACTCCCTGGACCCAAACTTTCTCCTGGATACTCACTGGATCCATCCTTTCTCCTGGATACTCTCTGGATTCACCCTTTCTCCAGGATACTCTCCGGGTCCATTCTTTCTCCAGGATACTCCCTGG